GCGCCATGGTATCCATCCATCCATCCATCCATCCATCCATCCATCCATCCATCCATATATCTACTTACTGTATCTATCTACCCATCTATCCATTTGTCTATCTACTCATTCATGATGACTTTCTGCTACGGCCCCACCATATTTTAGCTCTACATCTGTAAGACTGATTGAACAATAGCCATTTTTGTGTTTATTAAGATCACTTAGCTGTGGTGGCCATCTTAAWGTGGGACAGCTCCAACAGTTATTCAGTAGAAGAAGTTGAAAAACAAAACAAATGGACAAGAAAGTTTTATTAATTTAAAGTATTTTGGCTCCTGTCCAGAAAATGAAACTTCTTTCGATTCAGAATAGAAATCCAATTGTTTTGTTTTTCAGCTTTTTTTTTTGATTGATCATGACCGTATATGACCTGGAGATAATTCCAATGATTATTTCCCTAAAGTTCCATTAAAATGTTTTATTTATGAGACTTTTGCTAACAAACATGTTCTTCTGTGCGTGTGTTTTGCTAGTCGGCACGGTGGCTCAGTTGGTAAAGCTGTTTCCCCTCAGCGTGAGAGTTGCCAGATTGAATCCCGGCTGGGGACCTTTCTGGGTAGAGTTTGCCTGTGTAGGTTTCCTCCCACAGTTCAAAAACATACATGTTAGGCTAAATGAATGAGAGAGATTGTGTGGCCTTGTGATGGACTTGCAACCTGCCCAGGGTGTATCGCTGAAAGGACATGTTTTGCTAAACACAAACAAAAACATAATTGCCTGCTTTGGCTTTCAGAAATGAGCGATTGAAAACTACATATTGTCTTTAAATTGTGGTTTATAATCTTATTCTTCTATAAAAAGGCAGCACATGCATGCAGTGAGTWTCTTAGTCATGACTTGAACATGAACTGTGTCGTTGAAAAAAGAAAGCAAACTGAACAAACTTAAGCTCACTTCAACAATGTACACTTGAGGTTGTCATGCCACACATAGGAGGAGGAAATGAAACAGATACATACACCTGGTCCCAGCAGGGCTGTCCAGAAATCTGTTTTTGTACTGGGGAAAGCAGGATGGTTTCACAGGGATTCTGCGATCTGAAGACTTCTCCAGATCGTAGAGGGTATTCTGCCCCATGCCTGGTGAGGGTGGGAGGGGATGGCATGAGACACACACACACACACACCCACACACCCACACATACGCATATACACGTAGGGGTGTGGGAACTTAAAAGGAAGGGAGAYAGAGCAGCAACATGGTGTGCAGCCAACACGCTTCAGGCTTGGGCGCAGATCAAACGCCAGGCTCGTGATGATTTCGTTTGATTAAAAACTTTTGAAATGATGAGTTACAAATAAAGTTTAATTGATATACGTGAGCTTGACTGCTAGGTCTCACACTCGGAGTGACTAACGGTACCTATGTCAAGGGAGTTGGTCTTCCTGGTGTGATGAGAGGATGTTGAAAATCCATTCCGTCCTCCRTCTTCACCTGTGGTTGTTGAGAGATTAATCATCACCATCAATACTGTATCTTTTTTTTTCAGCTCCAACTGTTTACTKACACCACTTGAAAGGAAAATTTGTATTCACCGACAGAAACTGGGTTTCGACATTAACGACTCAAAAACAAACAAGTGTCATGAGAGAAATAAAAACTGCAATTTTAGAAACTAATTCATTATTATTGAACCATGACTGATGACAGGATCCGCTGCCTGTATAACATCCGTCACAGATGCCGATGGACTCCCCTCCTCTTTGGTCCCCCTGTTTTCAGCGACAGGCTGAGCAGGAGGCGAACTCCTTCGATCGGTTCTGTGTTCGCCTGGACTGGCAGAYGAGATTTTGGGTGAAGCCTTGGTCATTTCTGGTGAGGTCCTGTCTCTCTGGAGGTCAATGCTGGGCTGATGGAAGGACAATGCGTGGTGTTTTGAAGGCTGTGGCCCAAGAAAATACATTTTAATTTCTTATTTCTTAGTCCAAACRCACCTTTTTGGGAATGAGAGGACGCTGGCCCTCCGGTCCTCGGCCAATTTGCTTCTCTTCTTGCATTTTTTCWCTTTGGTCTTCTCCCTCCAGCCTTCCTGCCTCCTCTGAGAACAACAACATGGGAAACACATCAATCAGTCARTCAGTAAAGTAAAAGCCTAAAGCAGGAGTGGCTGACAAAGAGAAAAAAAGGGGCTTAATACAGTGGGGAAAAAAGAAACAACATCGCACTAATAAATATAAAATAAAGTGCTGATCCATTTCTGTGTTAGGAGCTTGCTGCATATTAATAT